AAATACAAAAACCCCCAACGAGAAGATAAACACCAGCGCTATCTTCTCCCTCCGATGCAACTCCAACTTCTTCAAAAGCGGTAGTGGCAGCGCCCAAATCAGCAAGTCGGTGGAAATGCTCAACGCAGCATTGGTATAATATAGCGCATTCAGATTTTATGCATTTTAGATTCGGGATGGCTCGGCCCCAGTAGTATGCTGCGGGCTGACGCCGGAGCAAATTCGCCAGCGTGAAAGTTATCGCGATAGCAGTGACGAAGAGACCGGTTCCCGGGAGGACTTTCCCGAAGGTCTTAGAGGAGAAGATGCGCTTGTAGAAAGGTAGGATTGACAGTTTTACGGCGAGCATGGAGGGGTTGTAGAGGCGTGTTATTCCTAGAGCCATCTGGTACTTTGTTAGTCTTGAGGTTGAGGAGCGAGAAAGGGAGGGAGAAAGATGTTACGGCGATGTCTGGCTTAATGTCCCATATGTACATTCCAAAGCGGTATTTTGATGCTACAAGTGATAGTTAGTGACTAGAAACAGCGCTATGGAATAGTCTACTAACCAACGCATGTCAAAATAGCGTTGGCCGTTAACAAAGTCTACACCAATTCTCGTTAGTCCCATCCGCCCCATCCCAATCTTTCTTCCCACCAAACAATAAAATAAAAGAACATCGAAAACCACCCACCGTAGCCATCACAAATGCGAAGTCATCCCGCCCACCACTCCGCAGCATCCTCAACCGAACAAATAACCTCCGAACACTATCGCTACCGCCGCGCAGGCAATGCTCGACATGACTGTCGGCGCCCGCGTTTCGGATTGACATAGTTTGGAGTATGGCCCGGGAATGGGTTGCTCATTTTGATGTGAGCAAGTCCAAGAAAAACGAAAAACCAAAAAAAGAAAAAAGAAAAAAGAAAAAAGAAAAAAGAAAAAAGAAAAAAGAAAAAAGAAAAAAGAAAAAAGAAAAAAGAAAAAAGAAAAAAGAAAAAAGAAAAAAGAAAAAAAAGAAAGAAAAGAAGAAACGGAAGGGAAGGGAAAAGAGTGTAATCAGGGCGATGGGATCCTTTATGAAAGAACGGGATGAAAAAAAAATAAAACCCGAGAGTTTGGGGGAGAGAGATGCGGTTTTTTTGCAAGTCTCGGCACTATCATTTCCCAGGCTTGTGTTTCTGGCAAATATTGGTTGGTTTGGCAAGAGGTGGGGTGCATAGGATACTCCTACTGCCGTATGTGCTGTACGAAATGGCACGAGTAGTGTCTGTATGGGAGTGTCTGGGTAAAATCAGGTGCTGTGCCTCATTGACCCTTTCTCCCTTTCGATTGTATCGTATGTGTGGGTCTCTGCCCAGTATCGTACTACACCTACATACACACCGTACTGTTAGGCAAGCAGGAGTACAGTACAGTACACTACTAGTACTATAGTGTACGATAGATAGTCCTTCAAATCGGCAGTAGGAAAGGATGATTCCCTGTTTTATGGGATGAAATCCCATCCCTCCACCATCCCCATCCCCATCCCATCTTATTCCCCTTGATTTACTTAATTCACTAGCTAAAGTTTAACCAACTTGTCGGGATGAGGGTGAAGTTTTTTTTTTTTTTTTGTTCTTTTATTTCTTTTGATGGCTTTTTTTTCTTTTCTACTCTTTGCTTTTTTTAGGATTGGTGTGCACATTGTGGTCACCAGAAACTCTCTCAGATACCTCCCTTCCAACAAAACTTAAGTACGGGTGAGGGTGCGTGTGATGCTGAACCAAATCCACCTGAAGAAGTTCCAATCCGAAGCAAAAGCTTCTCCTCCCTCCCTCCCTCCCTCCCGTCCGTCCTCGCACACAAACGGTAATCTTATCTTTTTTATTTCATTTTATTCGCAGTTCCAGGTCCTCGCTTTCCATCCATCCGTCAATTGTGCTACCGGTAGTGTACCGTAGAGTACTCTACCATGCAGCACAGCGCCAAAGTAAGGAAGGGGGGATAGAAAAACAAAAAGACCCCCCAGCATTTCATATCTGCAGATTACTACTATACTTACTTACAAGGACCGCCCGCTCCTCGGTAATGCATCGCATCCTACTTTCTTTGAACCGCTGCTTTGTGATAAACAGCATCTAAATGTTTTCAAGTCGTTGTTCAACACAACCACCCATCTAGCAAAAAAAAAAAACTAAAATTGACAAGATATACTACGTAGGGATTCCTACCTTTTCTTCTGTTTGGGGAATTAAGGTTTTGCATGTATTTAGCTTTTGTCGGCTAGCTAGCTTCAGTTTAGTGTTGCCCCCCCCCCCCCCAAAAAAAAAGAGAGATAAGCTAGAAGAATGTATTTTGCCTACTTCTAATCCCTTGAAGGAAGGGGGAGATGTTATGATATAGCAAAGTTACGTTTAAGGTTGTGGTTATAGAACCGGTTGAGGATAGACTAAGTTTCTAGCCAGACTGGTGGAAGCGGGCTCTGGGAAACAAAGTTTAATTGCAGTAAGGTAACTTAAATCCCAGGGTAAACGTTCACTATACCACGAAAATGGTTGAAACCTTCCATTATATCATACCATGATCCAAATGTGCACGGTCTTGTTATGATGCCTATGTCTACCTATAGACTAACTACTATTCTTTTTTTTTGGTAGGGTTAGGGGTTTTGTCTTGGCTACAGAACTCAACCAACTTAGTCCTCCCTATTTACTTGGGGTGAGATTATTAATCCGGACACACCCCTACACAAGAATTTTGCAAAAAATATTTAGCTAACGCAAAGCAACGCAGCAACACGCCCAATTTTTTTTATCAAATATTTCTGTCAAGGTGTTCGGATTAATAATCTCATCCCAAGTAATACTACCCTGCCACAAGTGATCGGCCCTGTGGAAGGATAATGAAGCGGGAAAGGTTTTGATCAAAGAAATTTTCTCAGTTTATCCCAAAGAACCTCCGGTGAAGCTGGGGGGGTTTTCCTTTTACAAGAGGTTCCAACTTGGGTTCTTAATGTTTTTTCGGCCTTTGGGCTAATGATGGATGCTATTGATTTCTATCGTTTATTTGTTTTATTTAGGGGGGTGACAGGCGAAAGTTTCTTTTGTTGTTTTGAGGGGGGGGGTTTTTTAGGCCGTGATTGCTAGGATTTTCCTGTATTTCACGAATAAATCTATGGACTTGAAAAAAAATAAAAATAAAAATAAAAATACCCTGCACAAGTGAGACTGTTTGCACTATTGTTCAAGGAATTCTTTTCTTCAGACCTCTCCGGCCAAAAATTCCAAAATGCCGCTATTCGGAAGAGCTCACGCTGAGGATACTGCGATTCATGTGCTTGTATACCCGGGGTTCTTCGCACAATCTTGAAGGCTCCTCCGACTGGATGTGGATTAACTCAGGATTCATAATCATCACTTATAATGGTTCGAACAGCGAAAAAGGTTATAATATGGTAGGTGAAGTCTTGGGTATTCCAAACTAGTGTTTTCCGTCAATTAATCGAACCGGAACTCTGAGAATCATGATGGGATACATGAAGGAGCAAAAAAAAAAAAACTAAAAGGGATTAATAGAGGAAAAAGAGGGCATGAACTAAAGATGAGAGAAGAATAAATAAACCAAAGAAATCCCGCCCCGGATCATAGTGTGAAACCCTGCACCAAGGCTTACAACCGTGGGATATCCCATTGCAAAGAAACACAAACTCTGAGCTCGAGAAATAGAGAACTTTACATGAATGACATAGGAAGGGACAAACATGCAGCACCTTGAAAACCTCTGCCCAGATTAGGATTCCTTAGTACCCCGCCGATGTGCTAGACTCGGCGCCAGTTGGTCCAGAATGGTGAGTTTGGGGAGCTTTCAGTAGCCTCACGATTGCCTCATGTCCTCTCTTGGCAGCGAGCTGAAGAGGTGTAGCGCCACTCAGATCGCGAGCGTTAAGATCGGAGTCTCCTCGTTCCAGTAAGAGCATTACGACCGCCTCTTGTCCACTGCGAACTGCCATGTGAAGAAGCGTATGTCCTTCGTTGTTTACTTGATTGCGATTAATACCCTCGCAGTCGAATAGTAACTGCAGCACTTTCCCGCTCCCACCTAAAGCAGCCACCAATATCGGGGTATCACCGTCTCCATCCACCGGGTTTAGGTTGATATTGTCCATGGCTAGCAGCATCTCGACTATCCCAATATATCCGTATTCAGCGGCAAGAGATAGCGGGGTGCTACTGTGATTATTTGCGATATTTGGATCAAAATTGTCCAGATTAAGGAATAGTTCGGCTATACCTTCGTCACCGGTGCTGGAAGCGTAGAGGAGTGGTGTATCGCCTGTAACAGTCTTCGAATTAGGATCAACATCGGACCGAGACAGTAGCAGCTTCACGATATTTGCATGTCCGTTTAATGCAGCAATGTGAAGTGGAGTTCTACCCCAGGTATCCTTCGCGCCGGGGCTAACGTCAGGCATTGTTAGGAGTCGCTCCACCATCATTTCATTGCCCAACTCGGCAGCTAGAAAAAGTGGAGCAATTCCATAATCATCGCTAATGTTAGGGCGGGCGTTTGGATCCCTCAGAAGTAGCGTTAAAATTGAGTGACTGCCACATCGGACAGTGTGTGCAAGTGGAGTACTCCCGCGAAAGTCTTGTTGGTTGATATCAGTGCTTTCGAGTTCCATCAGTGATGATACAAGCTCTTCGAGACCAAATAAAACAGCGCAATGTAGTCCAGAAATCCGACAACCATCACGGAGGATGTAATCATCCCACGAGCAGTAATATAGGTATTTCCACAATGGTGAACCATACTCTCTAATCCCCACCCTTAAATCAATTACACTTCCTGATACATGGTCACAATCTTTGAGAATGCTAAGGGCACGCATTCTTAGTGGCTCCGTCATATCCTTCCCTGCATGGTATCCCCAGTGGTATGAAGCGTAGATAAGAAATGGCATGTTTGCCGGCGGTGTTCCCATTGATATGGGAAGAGCTCTGACGGCTGAAAAGTTGAGATATGTCAAGCACACCTCGGCAATCTTGGCGTGGCCATGGTCAAAAAGAGTTGTATGAGCTTGTAAGTATTCCTGGAGGGTCGAGTGAATCAGATGGACCCTTGACGTTGCCTTATCGACGGTCACAAGTCCCAGACAAGACCCTAGAAGGGTCTGTATCGGAGGGATGTTTTTGGCGTTGAGATCGGCGGATCCAATTTCTACTCCGAGAGCATCACACAGTTCACTAACGGACAAAGGCCGCTGTGCCAAAGACACCCACATCAGAACTTCCATGCCGAGTCTTGGCTTATCCCCGCGCTGGCGGCTTATCCTATCCAGTGTCGCGGCATACACATCGTGTAGGCCATTTGCTCCTTGGTGTAGTTTTTGTCTTCTCCGGTGAATGCTGGTCTCTCCTAGTATGGCTTCGATTTGCAGCGCAACTAACAAAAATCTTGTAACACTCGTTAGAAAACGCGTGCAATAGTCTGTTTTCTTTTTGCTTCTAGCTTCTACTTACATATCAGAGGAGCTCTCACAGATACTCGTTATTATCTCAGATTCCAACTCTCTATCCATCGCATGCGGATCTGGGTCCTCGGACATCTTCATATTAATGTACTTCTTAATATCGCTTTCGTGAGGCTTTATAGCGAGGTGAGCTACGGGTTCCGAAAGATGCTTCTTCACTTCCTCTTCGAGATGCGGTCTCCCAGCTAGGAATAAGCGTGTAGTTGGCGAATCCCGGAGAACCTGCTGCAGAGAGCGCAGAAGTTCGGGCCTGCGCTCAACCGCATATTCATCCAATCCATCGATGCATATGAACGTCCGGCGGAAGAATGCAAGGATCTGTGCTAACAGTTTGAGAATATCCGGAAGTCGAAGCCCTCGTCCGCCGATAGATTCTTTCGATTTTTGGAAAGCCTCGCTGATCTCCTCCGGGAGTTCATCCAAAGCCGCCACGAGTTGCTTTAGAATCCCACCCATCATACTGGTTGTCACTTGTTCCTCCTGAGCGTAAAAATCGCAATACAGGCAGGCAACTCCGACATCTTTTCCAGAAAACTGGTCGCATAAGGTGTCAACAACCAAAGAGCTAAGCCAACCTGTTAGCAGATGTATTGATCGACAAGAAAGAGTGTAGTGCCTTATGTGAGTCTTTCCAGCTCCCGGATCTCCAGAACAAAATAGTGTAGAAGAAACAGACCCATCCTCTGCCTTACACCACTTCCGAAACTCCGCTGTCTCCAGGAACCAGTGACCTGTACCGTCAAGTCTTCGGTTGCTCACATCCTGGTGCCTTTTCTGAGGTTCTAAAGGAGATAACCATTGAAGGACTCTATATTTCTCGTCCGCAACAGATGTGACGTTATAACTGTTGGAGACAATGAGACTGTTGACATTGTCGCTGAAGCTGGTCTTGAAACTTGAATTCATTCTGGCTTGGTTTTCTCTAACAGTGGTGATGATGAAGGACTCGGAGCAGGTAGCTAAGGTGTTGGAGCGGGGTATTGTGCAACATAGATGGCCCGATAGCACTCCGCCACAAGATTAGCAATTTTTATGAGGCTGCCACTCGGTCCTGGTGGCGTACCCGTAACGTCGTGGCGTTTGTAAAACGGACTGCTATTGCATATCACCCAAATATCCGCCAGAGCCTCAGAATTTTGGTGGTATACAATAGCAGTCCGTTTTACAAACGTCACGACATTACGAGTATAGATGGGCCTCTGCTTACTACGGTCTGGCTGTCAAGAAGATTCTGTAGTGAAAGCTTTGAGGCCATCAACGGTGGATTGTAGAGGGGAGCTAAGAATATGGCTTTGAGAGCGGGGTTGTCCTGGCTCACGCTATGTCATCGTCTTGGATGTCTTATGCTTTAATTGAGATGAATTTGAAGCCAGATTTTGTACCGGACGTGCAAGCCAGTGGCATACGTATCTTGGGCTACAATGGTAGGAACCCATTAACCGGAACAGCCAGGGATATATTTGGCTTGCTAACATTAAATAACTGTTCCATAACTTCTTGCCAGACCTTGTAAAAGAGAAGAGTGAAAAAGAATAAGGGAAAACGCGAAAAAAGCGAAAGCGAAATTGGATAAGTTATGCTTTATCATACCGATCTGGTACAGTAGGTGTATCTTGTGCGTACAGTACAATCCACACCGCAAAAATATTACCTATCATACTCTGAAGATACGTCTGCTATCGACACTCCGATAACGTCCATTTTGTAAGGCACTCAGTTTATGCTCGAACAATAGTAGCACACCCACCCGCCGGCAAACCTCCATACCGGAATCTTCACGGCCGTATAACTTTATATCATTCATTCATTCCCAGAGACTTCCCCAGAAGGGTTCTTAAGAAGGTGGATTCACCACCTCTCGTTCGAAAACTACCGCAAACCGCGATTTGAAAAATACATATTTGAATCTCTTTTTTTTTTTTTTTTGCGTGCTCTAGGCTTGGGGGGAGGGACATGAGGAGGAGGGATGGTATCGTAGGATAAAGGCTAAGTTGCTGCCAATTGCACATCAAAAGAAGGAAGAAAATAGATGATTCGTAAGTCTGAGTTATTGTAACATAGTCGTTGATTTTCGGATTTGGATTTTTTAACTCAAAGTGTGTGGGTAACGGTATTTGAAACAACCGCACCGGAATATATGTGAAACTCCACATCGCATCATGTGGTGACAATACCCATCCATGCATATTTCCATGACCCAAGAAAATAACTGACAAATTTCCAACGCCAATTTTAACACATATCCAGATACCAAATGTAATATAATTCAACATACGCTGTTTATCAAAAGTAACACATTCCAAACCCTTTTTTTGGCCTTCATTTTGGCAGTCCATGCTTCAGCGCAGCTATCGTTGCTCCCGTGGCGATTTCCGTTGCGCTGAAGGGTTGAATTAGCTACTGTCTGGACGAATTCAATAACAGTGAACGGAAGGAACTCACCTCTGCGGAAGCGGATATACAGACTGCTCCGGCAGTTCTTTACGAAGGTATTCCTGCAAGGCATTACACCTCGATCCAAACTCGCCGCAAAGATATATGCCCTACCATCCCCGTTAGCACACTATCCGCGACTGCGAGACCAAATATCCGGACAAACCTTAAACACTTTACTCTTCCCCGCAGGTTTGGGCAACTTCTTCAACCCCTCACGAACTTGCGCGCACACCTCCGCGAAAAAGCCATTAAGAATGCCCTCCATCTGTCCCTTCGTCATGCTCAATGTCCCACCCGAGCACGGACATTCGTAGCAGTCCGGGTAGTAAGGGCAGCCAATGTAAATGACGCTCGGCCCCTTCGTGAATTCCAATACCGTGCTTAGCCAGTTCCCCTGAGCGCTGTGGTATGGTTTCTCAGAGCGAATTCTAGTGTACTCGTGGTTGCGTTCAAGGTACTTTTCGAACTCGCGGAAGATGCATTCTATCCCGACTGCGGAGAATTGTGGCGGGTGGTAAGTTGTGGCTTCCGGATTTGGGCGTGGTTGGGCTTGGAAGGTTTGGATTGTCTGGGCGTGTCAGTGAATGCTTAGTAGATTCATGGGGGAAGGGGGGTTACAATTGCTTTCTGCGTCTCACAGCCTACGTGGCAGACCATGAATAAATCTTCATTTCCCTCGACTAAATTCCCATCGGCACGGATTTGCTCCTTGAGCTCCGGGATGAAGAGTCCGGCGGAGACGTATGAAGCAGCCAAGGAAGCATCGACCTGAAGTGCGACATCCGAGTTGATCCCGAAGCTGAAGAGCGCGTTCTGAACGGCGTTCCTCAACGGAGTACAAACACTGTTGTCCCACTTCTTCGATACAATAAGTGTGCACTCGATCCCCGAAGCGATATAAGCATCGTGCCCGTATTTTATATTAGCAGCCTCGAGCACATGTCGTAACAGATGATCAAAGTACTCTTCTAAAGCCATCTGGAGTGTTTTGCCATGTCGCTCAAGGTAAGCCATCAAACCCGTTTTCTCCCCCGAGAGGTGCGCAATGAACCCCTTGGCATGCTCCTGCGCCCGGTCGACCTGATATCCCCATCGGCATCCAGTACCAGATTCAGCATATGATTCATAAACCAGAACTGGTGGGACCCATGCGCTTTGGATATAGGAATCGCAGGTGTCGCCATCGGGCCATCCGCCAACCACGTTGGAGTCTTCCGGAGCTGATGTATGTGCTATGGCAGCCCTAGATACAACATTAACACAAAGAAGCAGTACGTTTGAGCCACCACCATAAACTAACCTAGTACCGTAGTCTTGGAAATCAATGCATATATAAAAGACTTCCGTGAGATCTGGAGTAAGAGGAGGAGGGGAAGGATCGCTGAAACGCTGACTGCCGGACCAGGGAGAAGGCGCACGGTTCAAAGGTTCGACGCTCAACTCAGAAATCGTTGCACTCAGGGGCGAATTGACCTCTTCTGGATCATAACATTAGCAAATTCACATTCTACAAACGAGCACAATTTCAAATACCTCCTCCAAAAAGATTCGGTGAATCCAGTAGGTTACACATCCCCGCCAAATAGACAACATCCGGTGATGTGGGAACATCTAGTGTATCCCGCTTAGTGACTGGAGGTGGGACGTAAACTTCCAATCCTGTTCTAGCACGCGTTCGGAGAGACCCAATCGACTTCCGTATACTTAGGGGCGGCCACCCACTCGGCGGTAGTGCCGGGGGTGGGGGAGGAGGGGGTTTACGCCGCGCCGGTTTGGGTGCCGGAGAAGGTGCCGGAGAAGGTGCGGAAATATTTGGACCCGAATCCAAATCCCCAGCCGGTAATTCGACCATATAGCCCGAAGCAATGTGTTCATCCTGATCCCATGGGCCAGCCAAGGTTGCAGCGCCCGAGTACGACTTTGATCGCTGCTTCTCTACTTTAACGGGCTCCGAATCGTGGACTTGGCCGGATGCCCGTCTGAGACTTGTAGTGATATCCCATGTCCCTCTACTAGTATCGCTAAAGTCGTGACTATTAATAACTGGGAGTCCATAAGCTGCCGGTGCAGCTATTTGAGGATGCTTTGGCCTACTATTAAGCCTGCTAAGTTTGATGGTAGCCGTTCTGTTGAGATCCGTATGTATTCCTTCAGAAGCCTGTTGTATCAATCTTAATACATTCTCGTCTTGGCTAGCTAGAACTTGCTGCCGGAGGCGCTCTTGAGTCTTGTATTGCACGTCTGGCAGAAGGCTATTTAAACTATCGTTGAAACCCCGAAGGTCGCCGATGACCGCATTGAACTTATCCTTATCTGCAATAGCCCAGCGTGCCTTTTTGAGTGCCCCATTTTGTTTCTGCGTTTCTACCGCTGCTGATTGCTGTCGCTCGTAGATTCCCTTGAACATTGATAGCGAGGGGAATGTAGGACTCGACTTCCCGTACAGTTGCATGGAACTACCAGGAAGTGATAGCGACTTTCCTTCCCCTGGTACTAACCCGTACCGTTTCTTCAGCTTCTCGGTATCGTGGAAAATTTGTTGGATACATGAAAAAACCCTGGCAATTGTGGTGTTGATATGCGGATGTGCAATTCGTAGATCGACCCCTGAGCTTGTTGATGTAGAACTCGGTATTAAGCCCATAGTTTCTCCCCACAGAAAGAACCTCAATTGCTCCACCTCGATTTTACAAAGCATAACTTGGAAATCCGGTCCATGGGAGGCTGCAGTTGAAATCAAGTCGTAGATTTGTAGACAACTAGTAAACAGGCCCGAGAGGCTGACGATCAGGCCAGCGATACTCAGCGGATCTCCCATGGTGGGGGGTTAAGGTGAGATGTGAGTTAATATTCCCGTTTTTATTGATGAATACGGATATTTTGGTGTATAATGTTAAGTTTAGATCCTTTCCCCCAGGAGTTTCGAATGAACTGGGCCATGACAAAGTTCGCGAGCCTTGTGGATAATAAATAGACTATGCGAACCACTAGGGGTGGGTGAGTGGGTGGTGGGGAATGCGAAGCTTGTTGAAGTGGTGTAACCTGCAGTGATCAGTTAACTCAGCCGCAGAATGGGTTTTCCCCTCCCATCCCGTCGCATCTTCCGCCTGCTGAGGAAGAAGCACCAGGGAAGAGAGGTCAATTAAAAATTATTAGGCGTCTTGGTTTATCAGCTTAAGCTGTTGTTGGGCGAGCGATCAGTTCTGTTCTGGAGAAATCAGATACTCGTATAAAATGGGTAGGATTCGGTAAGGGGGACCTATTTAAAAAAAACTGCTTCTCAAAGCATATCCCGGGATAACTTTGTTGGAAGGCTGTCTCGGCTTGAGGCCCTGGCAGAATTAGTTTCTTCACCACTGCCTACCAGTGAGGGCACATACCATCCGGAGCACAGCATTCCATAATAGAGTATGATACCTGAAGAGCAACAATAAACACCACAAAATCTCACCAAACCTCCACCAAATCTTCTAGTCGATCCCATCTAAATAAGGCAACACCCTTCGACAACTTGAATTCACCATGCAAGTAGGGGAAAGCGTACAGTACAGTAGCGACACTTTTGAAAAGTGG